TGTCCATATCAACATCCCCAAAGCAGGCTGGCCCTGGGGTGCAGTTCATCCAGGAAAATTTATTTCAGTTGTGCTTCTTTTCATGGGGCTTGTGGGCTGCCCAGGATACTTTCCTCCTGTGCTTAACCCAGAGATCAAGTGGCCTTCATTTGATTTGGAAAAGAAAAGAATGAGATGCAGATGGTGCAGAACACCCATACAGCAATTTAATTAATTGCCTTTAAATGTTAATTCAGAACAGTTTCCCTGAGTGATCTTATGCAGGCAAATCCTCAGTTGCCTTAAGCCACTTGCAAAGTGTGCTCAACTAATAAGGTATTCTTAGTCCTGACCAGGAGCCTTGCACAGGACTGTAATCAGGAATGATTAATTGGAAATAGCTCTCCTCACCCCGGCTGTGCCTGCTGTGCTCTCCTGTGCTGCCCAGCTCTGCCCAGAGCTGACATGGAGCTGCTGGAGAGGCTGTGGAGAAGGGAATTCCTTCCCAACTCCCTCTCTGTGATGTGCTGCTTCCTCAGCCACAGAGCAGCCTCCCAGTGCTCCCAGTCTGGCATGGAGGGTTTCCAGCACAGTGTCTGGATTTGCCAACAGAATTCCCTGGGGAAGGATGGGGATGTGGGAGGTCACGGTGGGAATGGATTCGCTCGGCTCAGCCGTGGCCAAGTGCTCTGCCAGACTTTGAGAGTTGGTGCACTGCATATCCCAGCCTGGAGCAAACCCCTGCCTCCTGCTTGGGGCTGATGTCTCCAAAGCTGCTGAGGGATCAGCAGCACCACTGAGAGGAAATTTGTGCAGTTTTGCCTAAATCACAGCAAAATAACAAGTCATAGAATCATAGATTCCCTGAATTATTTGGGTTGGAAAGGACCTTAAACCTCATCCCATTCCACCCCCTGCCATGGGGGTGCAACCTCCCACTGTCCCAGGTTACTCCAAGCTCTGTCCAACCTGGGACACCTCCAGGGATGGGACATCCACAGCTTTTTTGGGCAGCCTGTGCCAGGCCCTCAGCACCCCACGCTGGCACAGAGAACCCTGCTCCAGGTCAGACACAGAGCCCCCTGTTCTGTGCTTCAGCTAAACCATCCTGCAGTGGCTGTGTGCTTGTTACGTGCCAGGTTTGACCTCAGGCCAGGGAAATTTTTGGAGGTCTCTTCTTTCTGTGCTTTCAGCACATCCTCCACTATTTTCCTCCTGCATCCCACCCCTGTGGAAGCAGCCTTTGAGCAGTAATTCAGTGTACCTGCTGCAGCCAAAGGTGGCTGGGAGTTAGCACAGTGGATGAAATCCACGTTATTTGGCTCTGCTGGAGTGGTCCAGCCTGCTGTGGGAGAGTTTTACTTTCCTAAAGTCAAAGCTTGGGGAACTTGCTCCTAAAGCAAGGCTTGAAATAATACCCAGCAAAGCCACGGAGGAGACAGTTCACTGCTGGAAATTGCATTTCACTTGGTGTCAGCAATTCAGGAGAAAACCATCTGCAGGAAATTACGATGACAATTTCCTCTTGGAGTGTGGAGAAATTACAGCTGTAATCGAGGATGCAGCCAACAGCCTCCTCTCCCCTTACTTCTACCAATTACCCTGAAAACTTTTAAGTCATTTCCCTGTACAGAGATGTCTCTAGCCCACCCAGGAAGGACAGGCTGGAAGAAGTGATATTGTGCAGGGAGAGAACAGCTCAGCATCTGAGGAGCAGACAGTGCATATCTGAAATGAAACCTTTTCTCTAAGAAACACGGAGCAAAACTCAAGCCAGTTGCAAAATGCTGCAGGCCTACGACTCTCAATGTGTTTGTGATAGTTTTGGGCCAAAACTGGTCTCGCCTGTTGAAAGCTGATTCATGCACATGTGAAGATAACATTCATCAGAGGAAAGAAACAAAAACCTGGCTAGAAAATGTGCTCATGGGACACCATTCACCAGCCAGGTCTTGGTAAGGTGACACCAGGAGGCCAAGGGATACCTCCAGGACCACATGGGCAAGATGGTGATAGGACCAGGGGGAATGATATTAAACTAAGAGAGGAGAGATCAGATTGGATGTTAAGAAGAAATTATTTACTCAAAGGGTGTTAAAGCACTGCCACAGGTTGCCCAAAGAAGCTGTGGCTGCCCCATCCCTGGAAGTGTCCAAGGTCAGGTTGGATGGGGCTTGGAGCAACCTGGGATGGTGGAAAAGGTCCCTGCCCATGGCAGGGGGTGGGACTGGATGGGCTTGAAATTCCTTCCAGCCAAAGCCATTCTGCTTCTGTGATTTCAGCAAATGAATTGTAGCATGTGTCTGAATTCAGAACCTTTCCTCAGAGGTTTTAGCCATCAATTTGTTGCCTGAGAAGATCTTTCCCCACCACCAGCTGCCTTAGCAGTTGTCAGCATCTTCCTGCTTACCCCAGCACTGCTGCTGGAGCTGCTGGGAGTTTGATTGTGATTTAATCCAGGCTTTTAGAGGAGGGAAAAAAGAAAATTTTGACAGTTCCATATATAGCCCTCTGACTCACCGATTTCATGTGTCAAACACTAAAGACGGGTTAAGTAGAATTAAGTTCTGGATTTATTATAAATAGGCATTAAGTAACATGAATGTATTACATTTGCATGAAAATATGGGCCCAATTCTCCAGTTTACCCCAGAGATTTTGTTTGACATCGATGGGATGCTCCCAGGTGGGAGCTCAGCTCAGAACCAGCCCAACTCTGACCATCCCTGCATGAACTGGACCCAGCGAAACAGGAAAATCATTGCTGGAATCAGGAAAAGTTTACACTGCTTGCACAGATCAGAATTCATCCCTTAATATAGTACAATGAGTTTTAATTAGCCCCCAGATCTGCTGCTGAAGGAATAATTTCTGCATGTCAATCAGTGCTAAATGTACTTGTTAAATCAGGCAAGATTGGTTAAGTTGAAAATTGCACAGAAAGTCACTTTTCTTCTGTTTCTCCCAGAAGCTGGAGACTTTTTGGATTCAAATGTTATGAACAATCTCATCCTGCTCCAAATACCCTTCTGGTGAAAGGTCCAGACAATGAAGTCACCCTCACTGAGAGCAAGTGTGACAGTCAGGCATTGTTTGGGTGAAAAAAGTCCTCTTTAGCCAAATCAGTGTTTCTGCAATGAGGGAGACAGACACAGACTCTACCAAATCAGAGCCCTCCTAAATAGTTTAATTTACTGACTTGTTCATTGCTAGACAATTGAGAATTGCTCCATGGAGAAGAAAACAAAAAGGACAGACAATACAGGCTGTATTTTTGAGGCTGAATTAGTCCAAGCCACGGAAAAAAAACATGATTTTGAGTAGCATTGTGTCTGGAAAAATAATGTTCACCCCTGCACCTCTACTTTTCTTGGGAACTGAGGGTTTGGCCCTGTTTCTGCTGAGGGTGAAAAGAAGGGATGTGCCCTATAACACAGCCAGGGCCACTGGGACTGAGTGACAAGCTCACCCTGGAGAGGTTGTTGTTATTATCCCACGGAGCTGTTGCTCATGAAAAGCTCTGGGAGCTTCCCCCAGCCCTGGTGGGATCCTCAGGCTCCGGTGCCTTCCCAGCAGGGCTCTGCCCTCAGTTGTGATTTTTCTTATCAAACACCACATTCCTATTTTTCTGCCACGAATATGATTTCCAATTAAATGCCTCCTCAGAGCCTGTCTGGCTGGGAATTAGGCTGGAGCTTGGTGGCTGGGCTGTTAGCTCATCAAAGTCTCCGGGATAACGGGGAGGTGCCGATGCTCCACTCGGGGATTTTGCTCGTGGCTTTGAGCTGCCTGCAGCCCCGCAAACTGGGACAGGCTGCCCTTTGCTCACCTTCAGCTCTGCTCTGCTCCCCTTCAGCCCACAGCTGAGTAAGCATCTCCAAGGCTATAAAACACAGCCCCTGTGCTCCTGCCCTCCAGGGATCTCAGCGTTCCCGCAGCCCCTGGGAAGGAGCTGGCCACGCGCTCCAGCTTACAGGGAGAGGATTAGCATGGCTCTTATGACTCAGTCCACAGCTCCTGTGTTCTTCCCTGCATGGAAAGGAGAGGAGTGAGCATGAAGCTTCAATCTGTCCCCTAATCAGCCACCTAACAGGTCCCCATCCCCAGGGTCCGTCCCCGATTTGGCAGTTGTTGCTGCTCTGGATGCCAGCAGCGGTGGCAGTGAGGTGATGGTCTCTTTATGAATAAAAAAGATAAAAACCAGGCTGGAAGGCCAGAAAATCTGGATGTGGAGCTGGGATCAAGATGGGGAGGGAGCAGCAAACCTAATCCCAAAGCACTGCTGGGGATGGTGAACCCCTGGCTGCTCCTGTTGGAGCAAAAGTCTTCGAATGCCAGCCTGTAGCTCAATTCCAAATGAGGATTTCTCCTTGCTGTGGACATGCAGCCAGGGAGGTGCTGGAGCATGTGCTGCAGGGCTGGTTTTGGGGCACAGAAACCCCTTTGGTCCATGTAATATGGGGTCCAAACAACTCCTTGCTTGATCCATCATGGAGCACCATCCTCACTCCATTGTGGTGATGCTGCCGTGGCAACCGTGGAAGCTGGGGCAGTGCAGGATGGAACTGGAACCAGTTCCCTTCTAGGTTCTCCCCTCTCCTGAGCTTCCTGCTGGAAACAGGGGTGGATCTTTGGGAATACCTGACTGCCACCGTGGTTCTGTCTCCTGGCTGGAGAGGAACTGCCTTGTGTGGGGCCAAGCAGTTTCAGGGGACACAGGGGGACCCAAGGGACTGCAGTGTGGTTGCTTGCTGGGGACTAGCTCTGGGGGTAAGGGATGCAGGGTCCACTCTAGTGCCCTCCTGGCATCAGTGGGACAAGGGGGGGCTGAATCCAGGTGTTCTACAGGCACAGGGTTGGGGAGACTGGCCTCGCTGGAATTTCTATGGAAACCCAGGTACTGAATGGGGTGGAATAGCTCAAACCATCTGTTCTTCCCCTACTTATGAAACTCGATCATTTCACGATGACATCACCAGAAATGCTCTCCTTTCCTTCCTCTCGCAGCCATCTGTGATGGTTCCCTCATGTGCCAAACACGCGAGCGGGTGCTGAGGGATGGGCAGGAGGACACAGCCACCCCATTACTCCTGTTTCATTTCTTCCCTTGGAAAGCAATCCTGTGCCTGCAGAGTTTCACTTGTTCCCTTCCCAACGTGTCTACAGCAGAGTTAGACGGGGGAAATGAAGGTAAAATAGAAGGACAAACTGAATCTGAACTTCACAGGGAGTATGAAAGATCTGCTGTGGGGGTCTTACCCATGGGAATACAAATCCAGCAGTGGGAGCCAGGTTTGCTCCTGCCAGCAAGGTGCTGGGTAGCAGCGGGGCTGCTTCTGCTGCCCTGCTGTGCCAGGAATGAGTCCCTGGACTGAGATTTGGGTGTTGGGACAGGCAGTGTTGGGGAATTGGAGTCAGCAGAGGACACAGGGAGTGGTGGGGTGAACAGCCTTCCGTGCTTGCCTGCTGGGCAGTTTCTCAGCTTGAAGTCACCTTCTGATGGTCAGGGACAGGAGCACTCCTGCTCCACTCCTGGGTAGCCAGCTGGGCTCACCCACATCCCCAGCAGCAGCGGCTCTGCTTCTGACTCACATCCTGTTGTGCTGGGTGATAAAAGAGGTGACAACCTGCCACCACCTGTCCTCTTCACTGGTGGAGGTCTCTCCCTGTCCTGGAATTGAGGTGCTGGCTCCAGCTCAGCCAGCACTGTGTGTTTTGGGTGGTGATGGATGTCTCAGGTGCCAGGGAGGAGCTGGAGCTGCTCCGCTGCTGCCACTGCTGGCTGTGCTTGCTCGACTGACCAAACCCTCCCTTGTCTGTGGCAGAGGAGAGAAGCCTCAGCAGACCTGGAGCTCCCCGAAGATGAGAGGGAAAGAAGGGCTAAAGTGGAGATCAGGCAGCTGCAGACCCATTTTCATCATGAATCGTACAAGAGGAAATTCTTCTATGACAATATCTGGCGGCAAATGCAGGCTCAGGAGTGAGTACAGCTCTGCTTGGCTGCCTGGAGCTTGGGAAGTTCCTCCATGCCAAAATCACAGATTTATAAAATCCCACAGGCAGGGACACCTTCCACTCTCCCAGGTTGCTCCAAGCCCTGTCCAGCTTGGACTTAGAAACCTCCAGGGATGGGACAGCCACAGCTTCTCTGGGCAACCTGTGCCTGGGCCTCAGCACCCTCTGAGTAAAGAATTTCTTCCTAACCTCTGATCTCAATTCCCTTCTTTTAGCTTAAATCCATTCCCTCTTGTCCTATCATATCTGCAGATATAAAATGTTGCTCCCTCTTTTTTATAAAGAGATCTGGGGACCACAGAGCAGAGATGGGGAGGGGTAAGGACCTGCCCTGGCAGATGGGATGTGCTAAATGTCATTTGTTGTTCCATTTTTACAGAAAAGCAATAGATGATCTGAAGCAAGAACACAGACATGTGACATTAATGCTGAGCCAGATCTATTCACCGAGCAGCGTGATACTGGAAAACAGAAATCGTATGAAGGTCCAAAGCCTTTTGCAGACCAGAATGCAGAAGGATGCCCTGATCAAAGAAAGAAAAGCTCAGTTAGCTGACCTGGCCAAGCAGGTGAGAGCATCTGGATTGTTCCCTGCCTGAGCACAGCAGGGCAGAGTCACAGAGTGAGACCTGTGGCTGAAACTCCTCTATGTAAAACACATTTAATTCAGGCCTTGGAATATTCCTCCTGGCAAGTGACACATGGCAATGACAAATGGATAGAGCCAGGCTCCCATTCAAGTCAGCAGCACTGACTGGAAAAGTGAGGTTGGACTCTCAACCTTGTCCCACTGGTCCCTGCACCCCTGTGTGATGGCACACACAGCCTGGGGCCACAAACATCCCTCTCCTTCACTTTTTTATTCTCCTGAAAAAGAGCTAAAACTGGAACTGTGCTGTCTGAGGTGTGGCAAATACAGGAACAGCAGCACCTGAGGGATGTCCAATCCCTTCTCCTGAGGACATCCTGATTGGATTTGGGCAGAAATGGGGTGGGAAGCCAAAGGAAATTTCCCTTCAGCATTGTTCTCAGAGCCAGCTGTCCGAGCAGGACTCCAGGGAATGTGTTTGGATAGTTTGCCATTGCTGGAGGTGCTGCAGAGCTTTCCCAACAGGGTTAGTTTTCTGTCAGGGATGAAAACTCTGGCTTGCCTGAGTCATCCCTCCCCCACCTGCCCCGTGCTTCGCTGTTCTCCAACTGCTTCGCTCTTCCATGGATTTATTTCCTCTGGAAGCTCCCCACTTCTGGCAGAAGTTTTCCTCCACTCATTCCCAGGGAGGACTGCACAGATCCCTGCCTGGCCAGCACAAATACCTCTACCAAAGCCCCATCCTCATTCCCTCTTCCACTCTACAGAGTGCTACTGTTCCATGTTCAGCACCTGCTGGAGTTCCCCCCAAAAACAGCTGCACTTCCTTCGTGACACAAAAAAACCCTCCATTCCCAGTTACAGTTCATGTTTCTGTGTGTGCAGGATGGGATCCTGTGGGATTAAAGCTGCTCCTATAACTGCAAGATCATTAGTGATATGGTTTCTGTAGCTCAAGTCAGCAAAGGAGATTTTCTTTGGCTCTGTGTCCTGACAAAAGTCCAGAATGTAGGGGTGGAGATTATACGTCCTGGCTTTTCCCACTGTGTGTGTGTGCAGGTTGTAGAGCTGGAAAAAAAGATAGTGAAGCAAAGAGACACAAACTGGAGGATGCTGGAAGCAAAGAGCCAAAAACACCTGCAGAAGAAGATTGAATTACTGGAGATACGTCTGAGTCATGTAAGGAAATGTTTTGGAGACTTTTGGAGAACATGTGTGAGGTCACACAGGGGCCTGGGACCTTTCTGGTCAGGACAGAGCCCAGTGGTGAAGATGGATTTGGTTAACACAAGCTGCTTAAAGCACCTGGTTTGTTCCCCTGGCCTGATCATTCCCAGAATATCTCAAGGGCTCCTTCAGGCTTGGTGACCCAAATGCAGAACTTGTGCTGTGCCAAGAGGCCTGAAGGTCTGCACCTGCCTTGTGATCAAACTGGGCTGCCTGGAGCCACCTTGCCTGGACAAAGCCAGCTCCAGGTCTCTGTTGTGGTCAACCTGGTCTTCTGTTGCCCTTTCTCTCTTGGGGAGGGAGGACAGTGCAGGGCCAGCTTCAAATCTCTTGGGCTTGCCATGGTCAAGGTCTTTAAGCAGCAACCTGAGCCCCCCAGTCCCCCACCAGTCCCACAATTTGTTCTCCCCAGGTCACTGTCCGCTACAACACCATCATGACCCGAAACAGCAGGCTCCGAGAAGAGACTGCCAGCCTGAAGATCCAGAAAGCCATTTATGACAGCAACTACTGGAAGCTGGAAAAAAGTCTGGTTCAGCAGAACAAATTGCTGAACGCTGCTATCGAGCAAGCCACGGAAGACTACAAGCAGCGGTACGTGGCCTTGCCAGCCCCCTGGGCAAAACTTGGGGCTGATGGGTGATGCCAGTGATGAGTATTCAAATAGAGACACCAACAGAGGCTTCAGAGAGAGGATTCACCAATCCCATCTAGGGCTGGGTGCCTGGTCAGTGTGGGGAGACTGGTGCCTCTAGAGTGTTTTATTCCATCTATCCCAGATGTTTTTTTGGATGGCATGCACTGCCCCATGGAGGAGTCTATTTTTTCTGAGTCTCACCTGAGCTGGGTACTATACCTGAGTACAAAACCCCACTAAAAGCTGTGTTAGTGGCTGTGAATTCCCTCTGGACTAACTGCACTCCATTCAGATGAGAGCTGGGAATGTGCACAGCATCACAGGGACTTTGGCAGGTGTTGCCCTGCTGGGAGAGGCCAGGAACACAGAGCAACACAAGGTGTGAGGGCTGCTCTCCGTGTGCAGGATGGAGGATCTGGGGCGGATCTCGGACATTCGGGACGTGCACTACAGGGAAACCATCCAGTACAACATCAGGCTGCTGGAGAGGAAGTGTGCCCTTCACCAGGAGAACAGGCTGAAAAACTTCTTCCTCAGCAAATGTGCAGATCTCTCTGCACTAAAGGAACGGGCCAAACAGAGAGAAGGTATCAGAGGAGCATTTGTGGGACTTGGGCCACAAACCCAAAGTCTGCAGGGTTGATGGGGTTGGGCTGCTCATGGTGGTTTATAGAATTGCACCCCAAAGGCAGGATGCCTGCCCTGCCCACAACCTCTCCCACCCACCCATCACCCTACAAGCAAAAAGGATGAACAGTGATAATTGAGTGAGGCTGAGTGTCTTGGGGGTGCCCCTGGGACAGGGAGCTGCTCCTGTGTGCAACCATGGCTCCTTTTACCACAGAACAGGTTGGGTTGGAAAGGAGTCTTAAAACTCATCCAGTTCCACCCCCTCCAAGGGCAGGGACACCTTTCCCTGTCCCAGGTTGCTCCAAACCCTGTCCAGCCTGGCCTTGGACACTTCCAGGGGTGGGGCAGCCACAGCTTCTCTGGGCACCCTGTGCCAGGGCCTCATCACCCTCACCAGGAAGAATTTCTTCCTAACATTTAATCTAATCTAATCATTCTATCCTCTGTGGAGGGGATCCCATAGTGTTTGCTCCATTCCCATGACATCCCGGCTCAGTTTCCTGGTGGAAGAGGCACCCTCTGCCCCTCCAGCCCTGCTCCCTCCTGCCCCAGCCCTGCACCAAACCCCACAGCACTGCAGGGAAGGTTCTGCAAAGGGTAACCACGGCTCTCTGTCTCTTTTTCAGCCTTTGAGGCAGCCGAGAGGGCCAAAAGGAGCCAAAAGGAGAGCTATGAGGTGGCCTACAAGCGTCTGCTGGAGCTGTCGGACGGAGACATCGATGATTTCTTGGAGGACTTCCTTGAAAAGGACAGGAGATTCTTCATCCTCTTTGGCTACGCCGTTAGGCTGAACGTCAGGAACGAGGGTCCCAGGCAGAGGATCCGGGAGATCCAGGTCTGTTCCTGGCTCTCCTTGTGTCCCCCTTTCCAGGCAGTGATTTTAGGTCAGGGTGGCTTTGTCCTCTCCCGAGTGTCGGGCATCACTGCCCACACCAGAGCCTGGCACCAGCCGCACGGCTTTGGGGGGGGATGCAGAGAGGAGCAGCCAAACCCACGACCCCGCTGCGTTCTCGCAGCTAAACGCGTCTCAATGCTGCCACCGCGTACCCAGCAAAAATACTGCAGGGTCCCGAGGAGCCAGGAGCTTCCCCGAGCAGCGTGCGGCTGCCTCAGAGGGAACTGGGGTTGTCCTGGAGGTGTCCCTGCTCCCTGGGCTGTCCCCAGCCTCCTGGTGGGGCGGGTAGGATTCCACCGTGCTGGTGTTCCCACAGGGTGACATGAAGGTCATCAGAGCACAGAGACAACAGGCAGAGAAAACCTGGACTCACGTCCTGCAGGAGCTGGAGGTAGGGTGGCCCTGGATTCCCTCTGGAAGAGGAGCACATCCCTGTCTGTCCCAGCACATTTCCCAGGGAGTCTGGTGCTGTAAATGCTGCTCTGGCCAGTGGCTGGAGAGGTGTGGGCAGAAAAGGGCCCTGCAAAGGTTTTACAGCTCCCAGTGCATGGTGAGAGGGTGGCTGTGGGGTTCCTGCCAGCCCTGTCCAGCATGGACAGCTGGGGATATTCAAGAACTGTCTGGACACAACCCTGTGCTCTGTGCTCTGGGATGACCCAAAGTAGAGGTTGGACCAGACCACCCATTGTGGTCCCTTCCAACCTGAGCCATCCTGGGCTCCTGTGATTCTGTCTCCAGACTGAAACTGGGCAGCACTGGGGTGGTGGGGTCAGCGAGGGGCTGGTGTGACACCTTTGTGACACAAAGACCTTTGCTGGTAGGCAAAAATAACAGAGACCACCGAGGAAGCCAACAAGTATGAGGACAAATTCAAGGAGAGCAGCAAACCCCTGGGACAGATCCAATCTCACATAGAGACCCTCTTGAAGGACATGGACTGTGACACTACAATGATAGTGAAGCCTCTTGGGGAGAGCTTGGTGCCAGTTTTTGGTAGGTCAGGGCTGCCCATCTTCCTGTGCCCCATGCTCTGAGAAGTCCTGTCCACCACCTGCTTGCACTCGTGTTTAAATTGAACTTTTGTTTTCCCCTGTCCCATCGGTCATGTGTGCCCCAAGGCAAATTTGCAATGCCAAATTCCCAGCAAATTTAGGAGCTCATTTGGATGTATAAAATCCCAGTGTGTATAAACATCCCAAACCCTCATTGTGGCTCTGGGTGCTGAAGTGCAATGGGGGTCAGCCTCTCTTCTCAGGGAGACAGCAAGAAGCCAAGGGGAATTGCATGAGGGGAGGTTCAGGTTGGATACTAGGAAGAATTTCTTCACTGAAATAGTGGTCAAGCACTGGAACTGGCTTCCCAGGGAAGTGGTTGAACCACCACCCTTGAAGTGTTCCAAAAATAAAGTGGATGTGGCACTTTGGTATGCTTTAACAGGCAGGGGATATTCAGGATGAGGTTGGACTTGGTGATTTTGGAGGTCTGTTCCAACATTAACGACTCTGTGATTTTATGATTCCATGACTCAGCCTTGGCCCCCTGACCCTGGGGGAGGGAAGCCAGTGGATCCCCTGCTCTGGGCAGGGTCCTGGGGCAGGGACACTGCGGGACACTGCTCCTTCCCACCCAGGTCCCGTGGAGAACAAGATCAAGGAGTTCCTGCTGAGGGAGTCCTTGCTGCGCTACACGTCCATCGATCGTACCCAGCGCGCCCAGGCCTTCATCAGCCCCCTCCAGGCAGACTCCAACCTCCTCTGGACCATGGACAGGGCCAAGCTCTGCCCACCCCCCCCAGACCTGGAGACCACTGACCCCAAAACCGGTGAGCAGGGAGCGGGGAGAGAGGGGCCATGGCTGGGCAGCAGCCGCTCCCCAATCCCCCGCGGCTGCCTGGCCAAGACTTGCTGCCTCATGTCCTTCTCAGCCCATCCCCTCCAGCCTGTCCTGCCCCACCGAGGGGTATGAGGCCTGTAAAACTGTGTATTATGGGATGGCCATTCTCTTTGGCAGCAGAAGAGCCGCTGGGCCGGGCTCGGCTGCGTCAGCTCGTTCTCCAGAGGCAGGAGGAGGAGCTGGCCAGGCCCTCCAGCTCAGGCAGGAGGAGGAGGAGATTCACATCACAGAGTGCATCAGGGGCCAGGAGCCCGTCCGAGACCGGGAGCCCACCAGGGGCCAGGAGCCCATCAGAGACCAAGAGCCCACCAGGGAATTAAAGAAGCAGTTTCATTGCTTGAGCTTCTGCATCCTGCACATCATTCCATCTTCCTTCTCTGGAAGGAGCCCGACACCTTTCACAGGCTTCAGAGCCTCACCGGGTGATATTTTGGCATGGCTTCACCCACTGCTGACATCACCTGCAGCCGGGTGGGACTTGGGCTCTGCCACGGGGTGACATCCCTGTCACACACCCTGTGGCACTCCCCACAGCCAGAGATGGGGACCACGGTGCCAATCCTGCGCTGTGCCCGAGGGCAGGGCCTGGCACGTGGGGTGCAGGGGGTGAGTGTGCTCATGGGGTGTTCCCTGCTAAGCTGCCAGAAGCTGACAACTCTCTGCTGCCTAAAGGAAATCTGAGCTCAGTGCTGGCCCTCGGGGATGGGCACAGCCCAGTGTGGGACAGGCTGGGTTGGGGCTGGCAGTGGCACTGGGAGGCAGAGGGGCTCGAGGACACATGAGGGTCACCTGCAGAAGGTCTGGGGTGCTGAGGCCAGCAGGGTCTGGAAGGATCTGAGGGCTCCCACGGGGCACAGGCACACCACACGAGCCCAAGCACTGCTCACGCCAGCAGCTGGATTTCCTCTTGCCAAAAGGCTGTTTAATGTGAATGCCATTCCCGTGCCAAATTCCCAGGCACATGCCTCTCCAGGGGAAGAGGAAAGGGAACCCCCGTGTGACCTAGGGAGAGGTGATCTTGCAGTGGCAGCCCCAGCCCTGAGCCTGGGCTAGTCCTTCTCTTCACCATGAGTAATGACATGGACCAGGTTCTTGTAGTCCAGGTTGCCAGACATGTCCGGAGGGAAGGCAGCGAACATCTGATCGATCTGCCGGGGAAAAGCAGTGACAAAAAGTGCCATGAGAGGTGTTTGGGACCAGGGCTTGGAGGAGGGATGGGGTCTGTTAGGATGGAGGGAGGCTGGCAGGGGTGGGAAGGAGATCATACCTCTTCCTGGGAAAACCTCTCCCCCTGCGTCATCAGCATTTCTTTGATGCTGCAAAGGAGAGAGCGCGGTGAGAACTGGGCAGGACCTGATGGGGACACCCCCAGCACTCCCTGCCCCGGCTACCCCTGCACTCACTAGGCAGATTTCAGGCCTTTCCCCTCTGGATCAAACACCTTGAATGCATTCAGGATTGTCTCCTCCGGGTCCGCACCTGCGGGTGACAAAGCCGTGGCCATTCGAGATGGTAAAGTAGGAAGCCAACTGCAACCTCCTGCTTCTCCCAGCCTCGGGGGCAAAATGGGGGGCAGACTGGAAAATGGGGGGGTGCCTGCAGGAATGCTGACCCTGCAGCTGGAGACTGGAGTCGGTGGCACGCAGAGGAGCAGCCATAGGGCCGCGGTGTGAGCACAGAGCAGGCGGGGTGTCGGCATTTATCTAATCTTTGGAGCGTATTTATAGAGCTCCAGGCACAGCCCTTGGGGCCCTGCAGCCTCTTGGAGACCAGCAGGAGGCTGCATTCCTTGGCTTAAGTACATGATTCAGGGCACAGCCAGATGGGATGGTCGGTCAAAGCCTGGCTCTAGCCAGGGAGGGCCACTCTTGGCACTCAGCAGGCTCAGAGGTGCTGCAAGAGCTGTCCCCTCTTCCTAGGGGACAGCAGCAGCAGCAGCACAACCATTTGGGTTTTGTAAGTGGCTGGGGAAACTGAGGCACGGAGACCATCTCATACCCCCCAACAGTTTGGGGAGACATGGGATAAGAGCTGGATCTCTGCACCTAGGGATGGTTGGTATTGCAAATCAGCGGGAATTTTGGGGCATAGGAATGCCACTGACCACTCCCAGCTCCCTCCCAGGTGCCCTCTCACCCTTGAGCTTCTCCCCAAACATGGTGAGGAACACGGTGAAGTTGATGGGGCCCGGTGCCTCCTTTATCATCTCATCGATCTCCTCGTTCTTCACATTCAGGCGCCCTGGGGAGAGCAGCTATGGGTCAGTCGTGGATCCAAGTCCTGCTCTGCATGTTGAGGGATAAAAATGCACACCACAGAACCCTTCCCTGGGGGTTTTTCCCCCACTGGAGGGAAATAGCACACTCCTGGGGAGCCACCTCTGGCAAGGAATGGAGGTGGCAGGAGGGAGGTGAGAGAATCACCCCCAGCTCTGGCTTCTCAGGCTCCAGGATCACAGAAAAGAAGGATGCAAAGGACTGAGCTAGCTGTGCTGCTTCCTTCCCTCACTGCCCCATGGATCAGCCTCTTTTAGCCTTCCTTGGAATGTGTTTTGGGCCAAAACCACCAGCACTGGGGCTCTCCCTGTCCCCCAGCACCACAAGCAAACAGGATGGAATGCCTACATCCTTTTTCCCGAGGCTGGGTTGTCCTTGGAGCTCCACTGCTGATTCATGCTGACCTCTGATGGCAGAGCCAAGCTCGCAGAGTCACAGCCTCCCACAAATCCCCTAAATCCCCTAAATGCCCTCACGCCCCGGGATGCCACGGGATGGGCACGGCCAGGTGCTTCTAAGCATGGAAAAGGCAGGGAGGGTTTGGCTGTGTAATCCAGGAGCTGGCTCCAGTGCCAAGGGGATAAACCAGCTGTGGGAGCTGCTCCAGGCTACCTGTGAGGGATCTCCCGGCCTGACAGCTTTGGGTTTGGATCAGGAGGTTTTTGGCAAAATGGGAGATCGGGTGAATGGGAGGGGCTTGGTTAAATGCCCCACCCCGTCTTGATTCTCAATTAACAGGTCTGATGTTGGCAAAGCTGAGGAGGGGAGGCTGCTGAAGCCGGGCTCACCGAGGGCAGCAAAGGTGTCTCTCAGATCTGCCTTGTCGATGAAGCCGTCCCGGTTCTGATCCATGATGGTGAATGCCTGGAAGCACAGGAGCAGGGCAGGGAGCCCAGGGAAAGGGAGAATTGTCAGCTTTTGCAAAGGCTTTAGCACCTTTCTCCTCCTCCCGTCAGCTTGGATGGGATAAGGGCATTTTGAACCCTTCCAGGGTGGGCTCTGGGGGTCTCACTCACCCTAATCCCACACAGTCCTGCGCCCTAGGGCGATGGCAACCCAAACCCCAAAGCTGTGCAAACTTTCCTTGGCCAAATCTCTCTCAGCCCAGTATGCCACCAGGCAGAGAGGCCAGCCTGAGCCATCTCCTCCAACTGGGGCCAGTTATCCCAGGAACTGGGATCTGCACAGGACCACGTGCAGGGGGTGAGAGCTCCTGGCAAGGCAGGAGGGAGATGTGCTCCAGCTCCCTCGGCTGGGCCAGATCCTCTGAGGGAATCGGGCTCCTCGGAAGCTTGGAGGCGATGCCGGATTTAACGGCGTCACTGAGCTGTTATTCTCACTTTTAAAATAAAACAACCCAAAGCCAGGCCTTCTGCCTCCCGGTGTGACCCAGCTGTCACTTGAGAGCACCAAGGGAAGAGCTGAAGGTCACATCATATCAAGGACCCTCTGTCCTTCCCACCAAACCCACCTACCTCTTTGAATTCCTGGATCTGGGCCTGCTCGAACATGGAGAAGACATTGGAATTAGCACCTTCAATCCTCTTCTTGGCTTTCTTGGGTGCCTGCAGGAGTCCAGGTATGTACCATTAGCTCACTGGCTTTTTATGGGGTGAAATAAAAGCATGGAAGTGCCCTATTCTTACTTGTACTCTTCATGGGAGCTCTGGGCTGGGGCTCTCTTCCCTGGGGGCTTGGTAGTTTCTCTCTGCAGCTTTGGGATACTGAGGGGCATTGAGATTCGTGCTTAAATGTCAGCTCCTGCTGAATTTAGCCAAACAGGTCTAAGGAAAGATGAGGAGTGAAATCACTTCTCCCACTGGCAGGTAAAAGGGTCAGCTCTGGGGTGAGAGATCCCCGTTGGAACCCTGGCTTTGGGAGCACTGCTGAGGTTGCACACGAGGGTTGTGGTCAGTCAGTGCTTCTTTACCCTGCTGTGCAGATATTAAAATACGGCTTAATTAAAAATCTGCCTCCCCCTGCACTGAGGCTTGAAACAACCAGAAATGGGTCAATGTGTGGTTTAAAGAGGACTGAAGAGCCCCTCGCTGTCCCACCCAGCCCATTATCCCTCATTCCAGTGCCTGCTCCCGCAGCCATTTCCTCTCATGGAGGAGGATTTTGGGGGCACAGAATGGCCCTTCCTCTCACTGCGTGAAGGAAGGGGGAAATAAAAAATGGCATGTGGACCCTCAAACCATCTGCATTCATTCAAAAGCTCTGCAAAGCATGGGAGACACCTCTCTGCTCCCTGTGAGATGCTGCTGGCCCACCCAGCTGCTCCCCAGTTTTCTCACCCCCTTTCCAAGGCAGACAAGACCCTTGGCCCTCAACTCCTTGTAGCCTCCTTTGTATCCAGCCCATTAAAGCTATTCTGGTGAAAAAATCAAATGAATTTTATCTCTTCCTGCTGGAGCTCTGGGCTCTCTGTACTCACCATGGCTTCGCTCAGCTGCCGATGTCACTGTGAGGGATGTCCCAGAGGCACTCCCTCACTCCCCCCGGCTGGAACAATAAATACACCCCCCTCGGGGTTAAAAATAGCCCCATGCCCACTTTTGGCTGTAATAGGTAATTTGGCCACCCCCAACCCTGTTGTCTGTGCCTTTCTCTGTCCCTCTCTCTCTAATCTGGAATAGCAGCTTGTTGTTGTCACCGGCTGACGTGACATGTGAGCCCGGGAGGGTTTCAAGGTTACCGAAGTGCCGGGCGGCCCCCAGCTCCCACCCCGGGGATGGTGACCCGGGGCTGCTCGGGAACAATCCTTTGTCACCTGCCTTTGTCACTCGGGCTGGCGCCGGGCTCGTCCCCTCCGCCGGGACACGCAGGGAGGGGTTGGCCCCAGGGGACTCCCCGCTAGAATCCCCCAAACATCAGGACGTGGATGTTTCTCCTCGGTGCTTCTCTTTGGGAGCCCCACGGCAAAATTGGTGTGGCCCAGCCGGCAGCAGCTCGGCCCCGGCCCCTGCCCGTGGGTCGCCTCCCTTGGGATGCTCCGGGAGCAGGAGCAACCAGCCTGTGGCCGAGAGGGGACATCCCGGGGTCTGCAGCCCCATCCCGGGACCTGCAGCCCCATCCCGGGATCTTCAGCCCCATCCCGGGGTCTGCAGCCCCATCCCGGGATCTTCAGCCCCATCCCGGGATCTTCAGCCCCATCCCGGGATCTGCAGCCCCATCCCGGGGTCTGCAGCCCCATCCCGGGATCTTCAGCCCCATCCCGGGATCTTCAGCCCCATCCCGGGATCTTCAGCCCCATCCCGGGGTCTTCAGCCCCATCCCGGGATCTTCAGCCCCATCCAGGACCTGCAGCCCCATCCCGGAGCGCCGCGCCGGGGCTGAGTGGATGCTGAGCTGCCGCAGAGCCGGGCAGGCACCAAGATCTCTTCTCTCATGTGTCACCCCCACTGAGGCACCTGTCCCCCACTTCAGCCAAACATTTGCTCGCCCCGGTCGCGGTGGGACGCACACATTTAACTCTCCCCATTCCGGGCTCTGTCCCGGGGACACATCCTGCGGGGATGACGCTCACACTGCCCGGATCTCTGGCTCACATTCCTGCAGCAAGAGCCAAGGAACCCACGGGCAGCAATCCCACGAAACCTCTCCTACGTCTGTTGTGGAGCAGAACTTGTGGCTGCCGGGACCCTTTTCTCTTCATCTTGTTCATTTTATCCCCCGCTCCCTCTCGCCTTGCCCGGGATGAGGCTGGAGGAGGATTGACGGGCATGCTGGAGTGGGAATGCCAGTCCCACGGATGCCCATCAGCCCCCCAAGCCCTGCGGTGCCTGGCATGGCCATGACCCGGTGGCCGTGCGGGCTGGTGGCATTGTCCCCTCCGCATGCCGAGGAGGGTGGTGGGCGAGCAGGGAGGGCTGGGACAAGGCTGGGAACAAAAGGGATTGTGAAACCAGATCCCTGGAACTCCGGGCTCTGCCCAGACGCTGCCCTTGTTCTCCCGGAGGTCACAAATATCGTGTTTAATCCCTGGCACTCGCCGCCCGCCTGCCAAGGCCGTGCCAGCGAGGTTGGCATTACGGCGGGGATTTCAGTCAGGAAATTTCAGTGGGGAAGTGTGTATGGAAAAGCGCCTATGGAGGAGAAAAACTCCTGATCCGGGAATGACCATCTCGTCTGGATGGAGCTGCAGCTCAGGGAAGGGATTTCAGGATGTTTTTAGGTCTGCGTGAGCAGAAAGGGCAGGAGAAAGAGCCGCGGGGGCAGAGCTGGGGCCAGGACCAGCCCCGGGCACAGCCGGGGATGAGAGGGATCAATCTCGGCATGGACGGTCCCTCATCCTGCCAAGTTCAGCTGGATTCATCGTCCAGCCGAGCCCAATTACCTTAATTTGTGGCATTAAGGAAAAATCCATAAGCATCAGGGAAGTGATGTGTGGTGCTTTCACAGGACTGGCCGTGGAGCCACCGGCGCCGCCGGGGCTCTGCCCGTGCCCGGCTCCGTGTCTGTGCTGGGGCACGGCTGACAGCACGAGAGGAAACCCTGGAGCTGTGGACATCTCCCAGAATGTTATTTTTTTTTTCCAGGAACAACCATTTTTACCCGCCCAGCCTGGAAGAAACCCGACCTGGGTCCCTCCCGGGTGTCGTGGTTGGGGTGAGATGGTGGCTGAGGGATGGTGAAGGTGCAGAGGGTGCCACAGAAATCCGGGATGGGCACGGGGTGCAGATGGCTGCCAGGGTTTCTGCTGTGATTTGTGAGACACTGCTCACTTCTTGCTGTCAGCTGAAACCCTGTGCGCTGCACGGGCCAGATCCTGCTCTCCCCTGAGGATCCTGCTCCAGCCTGCAGATGGAAGCGCCTCCAGGCACATCACATCCTTCTCCTCCTGTGGATATTGGGGGGCTTGTTGGCCCCCGGGAAAACCTGAGTGCTTTAAATATGTCTGTAAGCACAAAGCTGCCTCTGGAGCCCTGCAGTGAACAAAAGAGCTGTGGGAAGTGGCTGCAGCCTGCGAATGGATGTCAAGGAACAACACACGGATCCGCGCCACGGCAAAAATCAAGCATCGTCCCTTCTTATCTGCAAAAGAGCCTGTGTTTTACATGAAAAAGCCTTTCTAATTAATAGGCCAACCCCTCTCGAGCTCGATAAAAAATGGAGTCAAAAGGATTTGATTAACCCCTGCTCTGCGCCGGGAGCGTGCTCTGCCTGGGCGAGAGGCGGCCGCAGCCGAGGCTGCCCGGGCCGATAGCGGCTCCGTGTCCCGGGAATCCCGGGAATCCCGGCAGCATCCCGGTACCCCCGAGCATCCCGCAGACCCCACCCGGGGGTGTCCGGCCCCAGGCACAGCCCCCTCAGAGAGCCGGGATGCTCCAGAGCCAGCTCCTGCTGCCGCTCGCTCCCTGCCTGCTCCTTATGAATATCCTTTGCTCCGGTTGGGTTTTTTTTTTTTTTCTGTGATCAGACACATTTGACTAAACTAATACATATGTATACACTCCCGGACGTTCCCATCCAAACCAATGTAAATTACCTCTGACCAATACATTTTCCCAGGAAATCAATGCATTTTAACACGGGATAATATTTATGAAATTGAATTCTTTTTTATTGAAGCTAATGCAATTCCCTTCTGTTTTATGCATTTTTATTAAACTAATGCATTTTAAATTAAACTGTTGTATATTAACTACAATGGCTGTGGGTACTTACAGTAAAGTAATATATGTTTGTTGAAATCAATACATATTCCAAACCTGGGAATTTCCAGTTAACAAGGCTATATCAAACATAACAAATGCATGTACCTGCTTAATTTGATGCTTATATACAACTGGCTGCTATATTTGTTTATTGGTAATGATTATTTTAAAGGGGGGAAGCATATTAAAGGTAGATAGATTCCGGCTGGGAGCTGCAGTTGGAAGCTGCCAGAGGTGGACACCCCATCCCTGATGCTCGAACTGGGGAGTGTGGGGGTGATCCACGGGCCCTGGCGCTGGCTGGTGCCTGAAATTCATCTCCTGTGCCACAGCTGGTTTCTGTGCCCTCCATCCCACCCCTGCACCTCATTTCCCATGGCGTGAGGTTTTGGGGACATCCTTCCCTTGCCCACCACACTCCCCACAGCTCCTTTCTGCTGGCAGCAACCTCAGGAGCTTTCAGGGGGTTTTACCCCTCTCCCCTTGGTGTTCAGGAGGTTTCCACGTGTAGCAGATCATTCCAGGCAGATTTGATGCCACAGCTTTGCCTGACTTAGCTCCGTTTTCCTTTGGAAAGTTATGGATTGGTTATGGATTGGAGGGTTTGCCCAGCTCAGGAATTTGGGGAAGAGAGGATGGCTGAGGATGGGGACGAGGACAGACAATTCCTGAGCTCTGGCCTGTCCCGGGGCTGTGCCCTGCACCGAGAACAGGATGCGGCCCCGGGTGGAGGTGGCCGTCCTGGCTTCCAGAGCCGCAGCATTGACAGGAAAGCCATAAATAGCAGCGTTATCCGCCGTGAGCCCGCCGGCGGCGCCGGGGCTGAGATAATTTGGGCGAAGGAATAAAAGAGGAAAATTAATTAAAAAGCATGTGCTAATTGTAGGGGAAATGTGCGTGCAATAAGTAGCCGAAGCAGACAGGCGGCCGGTGGAGGAGCCCGGGCATCCTCCCCGCACATCCTGGGGCAACCGGGGGGCAGCGGGAGCTGAGGCCGGGTGTCCGGTCGTGTCCCCCCCGTGTCCCTCTCGTGTCCCCCCGTGTCTCTC